ATCACATCAGGAATCCAATGCAGTGCAGCTCTGAGCAGGTGTGCGAATGGGAAGAATAAAAGCTTTTGTGCTCCTGTAATGCGGAACGTGTCCAGTGGGGGCAGCACACAGGGAGGATCTGACAGCTCTCTACAGTCTACAGGCAACCCTGATATTAAACCCTGTGCCTGCCGACTGCACAGCATCCTCTATCCAAAAACAGTCCCATACACAGCACCCTCTATCCAAAAATAGTCCCATACACAGCATCCTCTATCCAAAAATAGTCCCATACACAGCATCCTCTTTCCAAAAATAGTCCCATACAAAATAGTCCCATACACAGCACCCTCTATCCAAAAATAGTCCCATACACAGCATCCTCTATCCAAAAATAGTCCCATACACAGCACCCTCTATCCAAAAAATAGTCCCATACACAGCATCCTCTATCCAAAAATAGTCCCATACACAGCATCCCAATATCCGAAAATAGTCCCATACACAGCATCCTCTATCCAAAAATAGTCCCATACACAGCATCCTCTATCCAAAAATAGTCCCATACACAGCATCCTCTATCCAAAAATAGTCCCATACACAGCATCCTCTATCCGAAAAATAGTCCCATACACAGCATCCTCTATCCAAAAAAAATAGTCCCATACACAGCACCCTCTTCCAAAAAAATAGTCCCATACACAGCATCCTCTTTCCAAAAAATAGTCCCATACACAGCACCCTCTATCCAAAAAAATAGTCCCATACACAGCACCCTCTATCCAAAAAAATAGTCCCATACACAGCATCCTCTATCCAAAAAATAGTCCCATACACAGCACCCTCTATCCAAAAAAATAGTCCCATACACAGCACCCTCTATCCAAAAAATAGTCCCATACACAGCACCCTCTATCAAAAAAAATAGTCCCATACACAGCACCCTCTATCCAAAAAATAGTCCCATACACAGCACCCTCTATCCAAAAAATAGTCCCATACACAGCACCCTCTATCCAAAAAATAGTCCCATACACAGCACCCTCTATCAAAAAAATAGTCCCATACACAGCACCCTCTTCCAAAAAATAGTCCCATACACAGCACCCTCTCTTTCCAAAAAATAGTCCCATACACAGCACCCTCTATCCAAAAATAGTCCCATACACAGCATCCTCTATCCAAAAAATAGTCCCATACACAGCATCCTCTATCCAAAAAAAATAGTCCCATACACAGCATCCTCTATCCAAAAAATAGTCCCATACACAGCATCCTCTATCCAAAAAATAGTCCCATACACAGCATCCTCTTTCCAAAAATAGTCCCATACACAGCATCCTCTATCCAAAAAAATAGTCCCATACACAGCATCCTCTATCCAAAAAATAGTCCCATACACAGCATCCTCTATCCAAAAAAATAGTCCCATACACAGCACCCTCTTCAAAAAAATAGTCCCATACACAGCACCCTCTATCCAAAAAAATAGTCCCATACACAGCACCCTCTATCCAAAAAATAGTCCCATACACAGCACCCTCTATCCAAAAAAATAGTCCCATACACAGCACCCTCTATCAAAAAAATAGTCCCATACACAGCACCCTCTATCCAAAAAATAGTCCCATACACAGCACCCTCTATCCAAAAAATAGTCCCATACACAGCACCCTCTATCAAAAATAGTCCCATACACAGCACCCTCTATCCAAAAATAGTCCCATACACAGCACCCTCTATCCAAAAATAGTCCCATACACAGCACCCTCTATCCAAAAATAGTCCCATACACAGCACCCTTATCCAAAAATAGTCCCATACACAGCACCCTCTTTCCAAAAATAGTCCCATACACAGCACCCTCTATCCAAAAATAGTCCCATACACAGCACCCTCTTTCCAAAAAATAGTCCCATACACAGCACCCTCTTTCCCAAAAATAGTCCCATACACAGCACCCTCTTTCCAAAAAATAGTCCCATACACAGCATTCTCTTTAAAAAAAAAATAGTCCCATACACAGCATTCTCTTTCCAAAAAATAGTCCCATACACAGCATCCTCTTTCCCAAAAAAATAGTCCCATACACAGCATCCTCTTTCCAAAAAAATAGTCCCATACACAGCATCCTCTTTCCAAAAAAATAGTCCCATACACAGCATCCTCTTCCCAAAAAATAGTCCCATACACAGCATCCTCTTTCCAAAAAATAGTCCCATACACAGCATTCTCTTTCAAAAAAATAGTCCCATACACAGCATCCTCTATCCAAAAAACAGTCCCATACACAGCATCCTCTTTCCAAAAAATAGTCCCATACACAGCATCCTCTTTCCAAAAAATAGTCCCATACACAGCACCCTCTATCCAAAAATAGTCCCATACACAGCATCCTCTATCCAAAAAATAGTCCCATACACAGCATCCTCTATCCAAAAAAACAGTCCCATACACAGCATCCTCTATCCAAAAAATAGTCCAATACACAGCATTCTCTTTCCAAAAAAATAGTCCCATACACAGCATCCTCTTTGCTAAAAAATAGTCCCATACACAGCACCCTCTTTGCAAAAATAGTCCCATACACAGCACCCTCTTTCCAAAATATGAGTCGCCCCATACACAGCATCCTCTTTCTACAAGGTGAGTCGCCCCATACACAGCATCCTCTTTCTACAAGGTGAGTCGCCCCATACACAGCATCCTCTTTCTAAAATCCGAGTCGCCCCATACACAGCATCCTCTTTCTACAAGGTGAGTCGCCCCATACACAGCATCCTCTTTCTAAAATCCGAGTCGCCCCATACACAGCATCCTCTTTCTACAAGGTCCGAGTCGCCCCCATACACAGCATCCTCTTTCTACAAGGTGAGTCGCCCCATACACAGCATCCTCTTTCTACAAGGTGAGTCGCCCCATACACAGCATCCTCTTTCTAAAATCCGAGTCGCCCCATACACAGCATCCTCTTTCTAAAATCCGAGTCGCCCCATACACAGCATCCTCTTTCTAAATGGTGAGTCGCCCCATACACAGCATCCTCTTTCTACAAGGTGAGTCGCCCCATACACAGCATCCTCCACAAGGTGAGTCGCCCCATACACAGCATCCTCTTTCTACAAGGTGAGTCGCCCCATACACAGCATCCTCTTTCTACAAGGTGAGTCGCCCCATACACAGCATCCTCTTTCTAAAATGGTGAGTCACCCCATACACAGCATCCTCTTTCTAAAATCCGAGTCGCCCCATACACAGCATCCTCTTTCTAAAATCCGAGTCGCCCCATACACAGCATCCTCTTTCTACAAGGTGAGTCGCCCCATACACAGCATCCTCTTTCTACAAATCCGAGTCGCCCCATACACAGCATCCTCTTTCTACAAGGTGAGTCGCCCCATACACAGGATCCTCTTTCTACATGGTGAGTCGCCCCATACACAGATCCTCTTTCTACAAGGTGAGTCGCCCCATACACAGCATCCTCTTTCTACAAGGTGAGTCGCCCCATACACAGGATCCTCTTTCTACAAGGTGAGTCGCCCCATACACAGGATCCTCTTTCTACATGGTGAGTCGCCCCATACACAGGATCTCTTTCTACAAGGTGAGTCGCCCCATACACAGGATCCTCTTTCTACAAGGTGAGTCGCCCCATACACAGCATCCTCTTTCTACATGGTGAGTCGCCCCATACACAGGATCCTCTTTCTACAAGGTGAGTCGCCCCATACACAGGATCATCTTTCCAATGAAATAACTGGCCCTATAAATAGAATTCTCTTTCCAAATGAAATTCCAGCCAAACACACAGAATTTTCTTTCCAATACCATAGAGAAGCCCCTTGTATCTTCTTTCAAAAATCAACACAGCATCCTCTTCCCCAAAACATAAGTGGCCCTATCAATAAAAGGGCATTAACCATTTCTATGCACCATGATGCCCTTTAAGTGTAGGAGGGGAGGGGGCAGTGGGGTGGTGGGGGGGGGGGGGGGGGGGGGGGTCTTGCCAGAGAAGAAGTGAATGAATAAAATCTGTAATCATCCTAATGACGGGGGATTGTATCGGTGAACTCTCACACAAAGGGAACCTTGGATATCTCGGGCAGGATGGATTAAAATGCAGCTTGTGGAGCCCAGCGAGAGGAGCAGGCAGTGTGCAGCATGGGCACATGTCATCCCCCATGCACGCTGCACCCATTATTTATCTGTACAAAGAAGAAGCAGTCATTTAGCAGCAGACAGATCAATGGGGATATATATACCCCGGGGGGCTCATTATCTTAAACAAATCCTAAAAAAAACACAACCTCAAATTGCTGTGTTTGCACAGATACTGGTCTGATGGGGCTTCATATTTGATTTTTTTTTTTTTTTTTGGGGGGGGGGGTGTGCAGGGGGAGCAATGCATGCAGCCTGCTGTGTATTCCTTTTCTCTGGTTATTTATTGCTCCTTGGCACAATTCCCTGCTGCTGGGAGACTTGTTGACACAGCCATGTGCTCTGCTACTAGACAGCTTTACACACCAGGATGGGAGACAATGCTCTGCCCCATCCACTGGCACTACAAAGAGATGTTATGATGAGGCTGCCATGGCAACGGGACACTAAGGACCTCCAAGTCATTTTAAGGGAGGGGTTCGGGGGGGGGGGGGGGTAGCTTTTCACTGCAAGATGCTGCAGAGCAATGTGGCATTGATGGGTCCATACTCTGGAAAGCCATAGGCAGACAGTGGGTGTGTGTGACATGCAACTGTGCAGACAATGCTGCTGGGAGAGACACCAGACAGCACCCCCACCCCCCCATTTCAAAGTTTTTTTACTAAATTTAGGGTTACACCTAGGGGCAGACTGACCACTCATGGGGCCCCCAGCAATAGGGGATCATGGGGCCCCTGTGTCCTCGCTCACACTCAAAGCACACCCAAAAAAGCCTATGAAAGGTACCAGGGGCATCTCATGGGGCCCCCGGGCAGTGCCCGAATGGTCAGTCCACTCCTGCCAGGGATGGACTGACAACTCATGGGGCCCCCAGCAATAGGGGATCATGGGGCCCCTGTGTCCTCGCCCACACTCAAAGCACACCCAAAAAAACCTATGAAAGGAACCAGGGGCATCTCATGGGGCCCCCTACTGACCCCGGGCCCTCGGGCAGTGCCCGAATGGTCAGTCCACTCCTGCCAGGGACGGACTGACAACTCATGGGGCCCCCAGCAATAGGGGATCATGGGGCCCCTGTGCCCTCGCCCACACTCAAAGCACACCCAAAAAAGCCTATGAAAGGTACCAGGGGCATCTCATGGGGCCCCCTACTGACCCCGGGCCCTCGGGCAGTGCCCGAATGGTCAGTCCACTCCTGCCAGGGATGGACTGACAACTCATGGGGCCCCCAGCAATAGGGGATCATGGGGCCCCTGTGTCTTCGCCCACACAAAAATGCCTATGAAAGGTACCAGGGGCATCTCATGGGGCCCCCTACTGACCCCGGGCCCTCTTGGGCTCAGGGTTTGACATGCATGACAGAGATGAGACACAACAAGTTGCTGAGTGGTACTCACCCAGGATGGAGGAGATCAGCCCCAGTGACAGCCCCACAGACCAGCAGCAGCTTCTTCCACCACCAGCCATACTGACACTTTGTAACAATCACTTCCCCCCCCACCACCAAAAAAAAAAAAGGAAATCAAAAATTCAGCAAAATGTTACAATGTTGCAGCTGCACAAAGAGATCCAGCGGCGGCGGGGGGGGGCGGGGACGTGCGGGGACGTGCGGGGACGCGGCTACTCTGCACATGGATGGAGGAACATCGGCAGCATCCCGTGCGCAGCCCATCCGCATGTGTGCGAGTGTGTGCGGACAGGCAGCAGATCGCAGGTCCCCCTCTCCTCCTCCTCCTCCTCCTCCCAGCACAGTCCTCTGGAGGCCCTTTCTGGGGAACAAAAGAGGCAGCCTCTGCTCTCCCTGCCTGGACACTTTGTCAGCCTGCGATCCAATGGGGGGTTGCAGATTTGTGGGGGGCTTTACCTATAGCAGATCCCCCTCCTGATCATTGGGTGCACAGCAATGGGGGGGGGGGGGGCACTCAGTGGCATGGACCCCATTCATGCAACTTTGATGTGACAGGAGCTGCTGGGACTTCTCCCAAATCTGTATAAAACAAAGGGGCATGGAGGGTGGGGGTGGGAGAGATGGGGGGGGCAAAATTTATTACAGGTATTTACATAGCACCAGGGGCAGACTGACCATTTGGAAACTCAGGCACTGCCCGAGGGCTCGGGGTCAGTAGGGGGCCCCATGAGATGCCCCTGGTACCTTTTTCATAGGCTTTTTTGAGTTTGGGAAAGGACACAGGGGCCCCATGATCCCCTATTGCCCGGGGGCCCCATGAGTTATCAGTCCGCCCCTGCATAGCACCCATAATGTATGCAGTGCTTTTCAGGCCCCTGTGCTTGGAGCAGGGGTGGACTGACCACTCGGGCTCTCAGGCACTGCCCAAAGGCCCGGGGTCAGTAGGGGGCCCCATGAGATGTCCCTAGTACCTTTCATAGGCTTTTTTGAGTGTGAGTGAGGACACAGGGGCCCCAGGATCCCCTATTGCCCAGGGGCCCCATGAGTTGTCAGTCCATCCCTGGCAGGGGCGGACTGACCATTCGGGCTCTCGGGCACTGTTCAAGGGCCCAGGGTCAGTAGGGGGCCCCATGAGATGCCCCTAGAACCTTTCATAGGCTTTTTGCTTTTTTGAGTGTGGGTGAGGACACAGGGGCCCTAGGATCCCCTATTGCCCAAGGGCCCCATGAGTTGTCAGTCCGTCCCTGGCAGGAGTGGACTGACCATTTGGGCCCTCGGGCACTGTCCGAGGGCCCAGGGTCAGTAGGGGGCCCCATGAGATGCCCCTAGTACCTTTCATAGGTTTTTTGAGTGTGGGTGAGGACACAGGGGCCCCAGGATCCATAGGGGGCCCCATGAGATGCCCCTAGTACCTTTCATAGGTTTTTTGAGGGGGCCCCATGAGATGCCCCTAGTACCTTTCATAGGTTTTTTGAGTGTGGGTGAGGACACAGGGGCCCCAGGATCCCCTATTGCCCGGGGGCCCCATGAGTTGTCAGTCCATCCCTGGCTTGGACTAGTATTCCCCCCCCCCAAAAAAAATGTAAAGTGGTTGTAGATATGAAATATGAACACAGCATAGCCCAATATGGAGGAGGGGGGGGGGTTCTGCAACGAGCAGATCGCGGCCAAGTGACTGGTAGATCACGGTCTGGACTAGCTGACCCGCCATCCCAGAGCATCAAACAGAATGACACCAACTGCACTTCAACGCTGATAAAAGCTGAAAAACGCTAAAAAAAAGCGGCTATCTGGCGTCTATGAGTCCTCACGCACACGGAACGTTTTTACAGCGGCTGTTTTTTTGGCTTTTTCCTTTTTTTTTTTCTACAGCCAGTAACCCCCCAGCATGTTACCCTGTGCGTCCATACATACACAGACTGGAATCAACGTTTTTGGGCTGGAAAAAAAAACCCAGAACTAGCGGGTTCCTAGAGGTGATTTTTGTTAGCTGTAAAAACGTTCTAACGCTGATAAATGCTGAAAAACGCTAAAAAAAACACGGCTATCTGGCATTCATGAGCGTTTTTGAGCCTGAAGATTTTGTAAGAGTATAATTGCTAAAAAAAACGCAAATGCTGAAAAACACGCAAAAAAGCTAAAAAAAAAAAAACCCTGACATTTTTATTGTAGCATTCTCCAGCTAACTCTAACGCTGATAAAAGCTGAAAAATACAAAAAAAAATGCGGCTATCTGGCGTCTATGAGTCCTCCTGCACACGGGATGTTTTTACAGCAGCTTTTTTTGTCATTTTTTTTCTACTGCCAGTAACCCCCCAGCATGTTATCCTATGTGTCCATACACACACAGACTGGAATCAGCGTTTTTTGGCTGGAAAAAAAAAAACAGGACTAGTGGGCTTCTAGAGGAGTTTTTTTTTAGCTGTAAAAACGTGATAACGCTGATAAAACGCCAAAAACGCGGCTATCTGGTGTTCATGAGCATTTTTGAGCCTGAGGATTTTGTAAGAGTATAACTGCTAAAAAAACCGCAAATGCTGAAAAACACACAAAAAACGCTGCAAAAAAGCTAAAAAAAAAAAAAACCCTGACATTTTTATTGTAGCATTCTACAGCTAACTCTAACGCTGATAAAAGCTGAAAAACACACAAAAAAAAAATGCGGCTATCTGGCGTCTATGAGTCCTCATGCACATGGGATGTTTTTTTTACAGCGGCTGTTTTTGGCATTTTTTTTCTACAGACAGTAACCCCCCAGCATGTTCTCCTATGTGTCCGTACACATGGACTGGAATCAACATTTTTTGGCTGGAAAAAAAACCCCCAGAACTAGCAGGTTCCTAGAGGAGTTTTTTTTAGCTGTAAAAATGCTCTAACACTGATAAAAGCTGTAAAACGCTAAAAAAAAAAAGTGGCTATCTGGCGTTCATGAGCATTTTTGAGCCTGAAGATTTTGTGAGAGTATAACTGGTAAAAGAATGCAAATGCTGAAAAACGCACAAAAAACGCTGCAAAAAAAGCTAAAAAAAAAAAAGCAAAAACCCCGACATTTTTATTGCAGCATTCTCCAGCTAACTCTGCTGGTGTTTTTATAACGTCCAGTGTGCATTACAGCTAAAAAAAACAGAAACCCTCTAGTTCTGGTGGGGGGGGGGGGTTCAGCAAAAAAAACGTTGATTCCAGTCTATGTGTGTATGGACACATAGGATAACATGCTGGGGGGTTCACTGGCTGTAGAAAAAAAATGCCAAAAACAGCCGCTGTAAAAACATCCCGTGTGCATGAGGACTCATAGACGCCAGATAGCCGTGTTTTTTTTGTGTTTTTCAGCTTTTATCAGCGTTAGCTGTAGAATGCTGCAATAAAAATGTGAGGAGTTTTTGCTTTTTTTTTTAGCTTTTTTGCAGCTTTTTTTGTGTGTTTTTCAGCATTTGCATTTATTTTAGCAGTTATACCAGCAATGGGCAAACTACGGCCCGCGGGCCGTATACGGCCCGGCGGACCTTTTAATCCGGCCCGCGGAGCTAGGCTCCCGCTAGGCTCCTCTCACAGTCCGCCCTGTTTCCTATGAGGATCTGTCCCCTTCTTCGACGTATCTGCGCATGTGCCAGAGATCGCCGATCGGCTGCTAATGCCTGAAACTGGCACATGCGCAGATACGTCGAGGGGGACAGATCCTCATAGGAGACAGATTTTCATGCTACACCGAACGGCGCGGGAACAAGAGGAACGCGCGGAGCAAAGGTAAGTGAATTGACACAGGGGGGACTTGGGGACTTAATATGGGGGATGAATTAATATGGGGAATGAATTACTATAGGGGGGATGAATTACTATATGGGGGATGAATTACTATGGGGGATGAATTACTATATGGGGGATGAATTACTATATGGGGGATGAATTACTATATGGGGGATTAATTACTATATGGGGGATTAATTACTATGGGGGATGAATTACTATATGGGGGATGAATTACTATATGGGGGATGAATTACTATATGGGGGATGAATTACTATGGGGGATTAATTACTATGGGGGATGAATTACTATGGGGGATGAATTACTATATGGGGGATGAATTACTATGGGGGATGAATTACTATGGGGGATTAATTACTATATGGGGGATGAATTACTATGGGGGATGAATTACTATATGGGGGATGAATTAATATGGGGATGAATTACTATATGGGGGATGAATTACTATGGGGGATGAATTACTATATGGGGGATTAATTACTATGTGGGGGATGAATTACTATGGGGGATGAATTACTATATGGGGGATGAATTACTATATGGGGGGATGAATTACTATGGGGATGAATTACTATATGGGGGACGAATTACTATATGGGGGATGAATTACTATGGGGGATGAATTACTATATGGGGGATGAATTACTATATGGGGGATGAATTGCTATATGGGGGATGAATTTACTATGGGGGATGAATTACTATATGGGGGATGAATTACTATGGGGATGAATTACTATAGGGGGGATGAATTACTATATGGGGGATTAATTACTATGCTTACTATGGGGGAATATTACTATACTTACTATGGATGACACATACACATCATTCATCTACTCTTGGTCCGGCCCCCGGGTCCAATATATGAACCCATTGCGGCCCTCAAGTCAAAAAGTTTGCCCCACCCCTGAGTTATACTCTCACAAAATCCTCAGGCTCAAAAATGCTCATGAACGCCAGATAGCCGCGTTTTTTAACTTTTTATCAGCGTTATCCCGTTTTTACAGCTAACAAAGCCTCTAGGAACCCACTAGTCCTGTTTTTTTTTTCCAGCCAATAAACGTTGATTCCAGTTTATGTGTGTATGGACACATAGGAGAACATGGGGGGGTTACTGGATATAGAAAAAAAATGCCAAAAGCCAAAAACAGCTGCTGTAAAAACATCCAGTGTACATGAGGACTAAAAAAAC